AAAAGGGAAAGAATCAGCTGACCTGGGGCCAGCAGGTTTTATCTTCATTGTTACCTGCCTTTCTCACCCAGGAAGTCAACTCCTATACTTGGTTCCCTCTTTGAAACAAGTATCTTGGTTAATTCTATTTTATTGTAACTTTTAAAATGAAAGTTATTGTTCTGAGTTCATAGCAGGTGCCTTATTCTTTGCTTTGTGTCACACCATTCCATATCAGAATTTCCCTTGGTGTATCATAGGTAATTGACTTTAAGATGGTGGTGATGTCTTTTAGTATACAATGTCTATTAATTTGACTGTTAAATTGCTATAGCTAGCAACCATTTTACATATAAAGTTGCATTGGGTCAATGAAAGCTATGTCTTATTTGATTTGTTCTTTAAAAATAAAAGTTCCCTGGATATTTTATGCCTTCTAAAAAAAATGATTTTACAGAGTTCCTTTTTTTTTTTTAATAAGAATTTGTTTGAACCAAATTGATGCATGCTGGAAACCAAGATCACAAGTGCTCTCCAGAGTTCTTATCTGAATGTATATTTTACAATTAATAGAAAATGATTTTAAAGACTGCCTAGTATTATGTTGTACTTGAGATAAAACAAATAGTACCCAAATGCACGGATTTAAATTTTTTTTTTTAAATATACTTTATTGATTTTTTACAGAGAGGAAGGGAGAGAGAGAGAGAGCTAGAAACATCGATGAGAGAGAAACATCGATCAGCTGCCTCCTGCACATCCCCTACTGGGGATGTGCCCGCAACCCAGGTACGTGCCCTTGACCAGAATCGAACCTGGGACCTTTCAGTCCGCAGGCCGACGCTCTATCCACTGAGCCAAACCGGTCTCGGCGGATTTAAATTTTATAACTGGGAATAGGTAGCAAGAAAAACATATAAAAGCACAATGAATTAAATACTTCCCCACCTAGGATTTACCCTTATCTCATGTTTATCCAAGTCTGATTCAAGGAAGAAACACGGTTCTTTTTAACTCCCTTTCCTAATTGAATTTTTAAAAAGCATATCTTTATTGATTTCAGAGAGGAAGAGAGAGAGAGAGAAACATCAATGATGAGAGAGAATCATTGATCAGCTGCCTCCTGCATGCATCCCACTGGGGATGGAACCCACATCCTGGGCATGTGCCCTGACTGGAATCGAACTGTAACCTCCTGGTTCATAAGTTGACCCTCAACCACTGAGCCGCGCTGGCCGGGCTCCCAATTGAATTTTATATGTCATCTAATTTTGAGCACAGTATGAGAGTAAATGCTTCGTTGCAGTTGTCTACATTATCTAATTACTCTTTGTAATTTAGCTACAACATTTCAAAGAGTTGTCAAGGATTTCATTGTATCTGTTGAGTTGTATATAATGCTCAAAATAATCGAGTGAGCTTCCAGATTAAGTAAAAGATTTTCATTGTAACAGGATACACTGTAATGGGCTTTTGACTTAAAGAAATATGTATACTCAAGTGCAAAGCATCCCTTTACAGATAAATAAAAAAATTCATGATTCTTCTCACCAAGTTTTGTTGGTACAAAGGACTACCATATTGTGCTGGATTATGTTCTTGGAGGTTCAACAAACTTATTGTGCATTAGCACCTGTAAAATGTAGAATATCATCAAATTTTATAAATTGTTCTGAAGTTTGATATGCCTTTACCTTTTTAGTTTTTTACTTTAGACACAAACCACAACTTCAAGAGGTAGGAGTTGAGTTCAACAGCATGTGCAATATCACTCCCTCAGAATCCTTCCTTGTCTGTCATAATCCTTGTACTGCTTTATCTTCAAGTTGAATTAAAACAAAAATGTCCTAATTTGGAGAAGTACTAGTATGCAATAAAAGGCTATAAAGTAAGCTGAAGGGGAAAATTCAACAGTCTGGACTTAGATAATCCAAAGTAAGTTCATATCTATTAGAATCAAAGGTGGGAAGGACATGGGAAATTCTGTCCAAAAAACCTCACTTTACAGCTAAATTAAAAAATTCATTCAGTGAATATTGAGTAACTTACATGCTGGATAGAGAGAGCTTTGAATACAGAGTCCTGACACTTAGATCTTGCAATCCAGTAGTGAGAGAAAAGACAATGATGACCATAATTGTGGTAAGTATTTCAAAGGAGAGATAAAACCTGATAAATGGTTTCTACCCTCACAGAGCTAACTGAGGTAGAGCAGAAACTAGAAACAAGGTTTTCTGCCTCAGTGTACCCTGCGGAAACCTAGGGATGACTGCGAAGCATCCACACAGAACACTTCTGTTTCCATGACTCTTCTTCTGTTCTTAGAAAAGCTCTTAATTTTTTTTTTCATGTTGCTAATTAAAAAGAGAAAGAAAGAAAGGAGAGAGAGAGAAAGAAAGAAAAAGAAGGAGGGAGGGAGGAACTTGTCCCTTTATGGATGCAATTTCTTTTGAAAATGAGTTTGTGACAAATTAGTATTCGCATTTCCTGTACAACACAAAAAATACAAAGATCAAATCAGTAGTGTTATCTACTATAACATTCAAGTGTACACTTTTTAAAAGTTTTGCTATAATTTTATTGTAATTTGTTTTAAAAATGTTCATCTGTGATGTTGAAAAATAATTTGATAATTTAGTCAAAAAAATGCCTTCATCTGCTCTCCATAGGTGCTTTTTATAACAAAGGTTCAGTGACTTTCAGTGTGCAAATTTCTACTTTGCAGTGCAGACAGAATTAGAACAAATCAATCACTTTTTAAAAGTTTTGCTATAATTTTATTGTAATTTGTTTTAAAAATGTTCATCTGTGATGTTGAAAAATAATTTGATAATTTAGTCAAAAAAATGCCTTCATCTGCTCTCCATAGGTGCTTTTTATAACAAAGGTTCAGTGACTTTCAGTGTGCAAATTTCTACTTTGCAGTGCAGACAGAATTAGAACAAATCTGCAAATTTAAATAATTAAAACTGTGATTTCAGTGTCATTAAATAGGTTATAACAGGTTTTTCTTCTTTCCTCACTGGAGAAAGTCTCTAACAGGAGAATGAGAATAATTGATTTTAGAGCTGGAAGGAACTTTATATATATATATATATATATATTGATTGATTGATTTCAGAGAGGAAAGGAGAGGGAGAGATAGAAATATCGATGAATCATTGATCAGCTGCCCCCCCTACTGGGGATCAAGCCCGCAACTCAGGCATGTGCCCTTGACCAATATCGAACCTGGGACCCTTCAGTCTGCAGTCTGATGCTCTTATCCACTGAGCCAAATGGCTAGGGCTGGAAGGAACTTTAGAAATGATCTTGATTAACCCTTTATTTTATAGTTGAAATTATGGCCTAGAGAAGTCACCTTTCCCATTACCAATGAGCCTGTAGCAGAGCAAGGATTAGAAAACTGGCTCTTTAAGTCAGAGAAAAATATCACATGATCTCACTCATTTATGGAATATAATGAACAACATAAGCTGATAAAAACAGATCCAGAAACAGAATCATCAATCAGAATGTCAAACCTCAGAGGGAAGGTAGGGGAGGGTGGGGGTAAGGGTGAGAGGTCAACCAAGGACTTGTATGCATGCATATAAGCATAACCAATGGACACAGACAACAGGGGGTGAGGGCATGAGTGGGGGGGATGACACATATGTAATAAGGACACACATGTAATACCTTAATAAAGAAATTAAAAGTACAAAAAGAAAAAACACAAAAAACTGGCTCTTTAGTATTCTGAGTGCCAAGGAATTATTGTTGTGTAGGAATGTCTCCTTTTACTTTAGGAGATTATATATATTAATCTCAGAAAACCCCATGAGTGTTCCATTAAGGTAAATCTGAAGATTTACTAAACTTCAGTGAGCTTCCACTGCAACTGGGATGGAAATAGGTCTAGCTTTGATTGTCA